AAAAATCTAAAAAAAAAAAAACACTAAAGAAAAATATTGAAAAGGTACTATTTACAATTTTAAAAATGACCAAATTTAAGATAATATTAAGAAAAATGATGAACTGAAAATATAATTAAACTAAATTTCATTTTACCACCATTAATGAAGATGATGAGGTGTTTAAGAAAACACTGCAGCACAACTTTGTGCACATTAACAGCATTGCTTTAAATGTTAGTGATTTGCTACTATATTTTTGTCTGAAAATGCTTTGTCTAGTTTAAACAGCATGTTTTTGTAAGGCTCGTTAAGATTCCCTTCAGGACAGTGTGCATTGCCTAGTTGCATTGTTGCACAACAGGCCGATTTGATATTGAATCTGTCATTGTCACAGAACAATGCAGACAAAAGCAAATACACTGTCTCATTCTACTCAGCTGATTCCACAAAGGTGAAGACAACATATCTCAGCCTTTTTCGGCTACTTATTTAGTAAGTCAACAATGATTGCAGTCAAATAACTGCAGCTGGTTAATAAATGGTGTGGACGGATGTTCTTAGAGGCACCTCTGATCAGAGCTCAAGTTTATATCAGGAGAATATACACAGACACAGAGAGAATTCACTCTGCATATGTAGCATCATTGGGTGGTCAGACATAAAGTAGCAGTGGTCCTGAGCTGCGTTTATGAGAACGGTGTGACCGAAACAGTCAACGTCCATGATTCACACCAAAAGCCTTCTGAACAGAGGCTGCTGTTAGTATGCAATGCTAGTGTGAGGCTTGGTGGGAGGAAGCTTTCTGGCCCTGGCTGAGGGCCCAGTCTATCTTCCTGTTGGCCAGAAGCAATGTGCAGGACAATAATGCAGCAAGAGAGAAGGGCCATTGTTATAAGAGCCAGTCCTAAACTTGGCCAAGAGTTGATTCGAGATGACGGAGAAATTGTTAGACCTATAAATCTACAGTATCACATACTAACAAATAAACAGACTGTTTTGATTATTCATCAGTCATTGTCTACCACAATTTTGTTTAGTCACCCTTATAGTCTCTGAAATCAAAAAATCTGTGTAGAAACAAAATATACTAAATAATAAACTTTTATGCATACTAAACTAGTGCCCTTACAACCTTACCGCAATGATACCATGGTACAGTGAATGTATCAGATGTATATTTAACCCAGGACTGTACCAGTGGGGCCAGTTCCCAGGGACCACCAAAGCCTAAGACTGTGTGAAAGATTGCCAAAGGGACTGCCTAGGATACTTGAGTCTCAGTAGATCAAGCTGACCACTAGGGCCCTGGGCTACCAAACACATTAGTGGGACATGATTGCTAGGGCTCCTGGCATCCCGGTGCATTTAGTGGGACATGACCACTAAGGCCCTGGGCCTCAGACCCTCCGGCGCATACAGTGAGTCATAACCACTATGTTCATGGCCTGCCCAGTGTATACAATTGGCCATTCCCACTAGGGCCCCAGCCTACAGTGGGACATTACCAGTAGGGTCTTGAGTGGGACATGATCGCTAGGGCCCCTAGAAACCCTGTGCATACAGTGGGACATGACCATTGGGGCCCCTTAACGAATACAGACTGAGCTGACTACTAAGGCTCCAGGCCCCTCACAGCATACAGAGTGAACTGACCACTATGGCCTCTCAGGAGCTGGGGCCCTGGTTACCTTAACAAAAACAGCATTTGCTGACCTTTCAGCTCCCATTGGATCACTACAGCCCTTGGCTACTGTTGTTTGTCACCTAATGTTATCCTAGCAAAACGTGTTCTCTAATTTTGTTGCCTAACGCAGGTCTACCAATAGAGGTGGAACTAGGAGGAATGGGGCTCCAAAGATTCTTGCTCAGGGGCCTCAAGGAGCCATGATCTGGCCTTGAATGCCATACATGGTTCAGTATGATTTCGATTCCAAGGTACTTCAAAGAATACCATTGTATTTGGTTTTGTCCAAAAATTTTATTACCGTGGTACTACAGTATTTCCAAAATACTATGCAAATACCTTGTAAAAGTGACTAATTATGGAAAAAGGCCATAAAGGAATTGTGATAAATAGACAAAGAATGGGCTGAAGTGGGAATAAGACAGCCATAAGGCCTGAGTGTGCCCCTGAGAGTGAGCGTTTCAGATATCCTTCAAGCTTGTTTATGTATTCCTCATTGATCTGGGCGACTGTAGGAGAAGGTAGAGGGCGTCGGGGGAGGGACGGAAGAGCTTTTATGTCTGATTAACTCTCCTCCAAATCTCCTCGGACGACAGGAGCACTGTGAGGAGGGGCGGATCGCCTGGCAACGATATTCGGCGGGATTCATCAGTGACAGCATTCCGATCATGACTGTCCTGTGTCTCCTCTACTCTTCCAATAATATTTATCAAAGTGCTTTTTTGCTCTACCTTGTCTGACAGGGCAATATTTATAATACCACTCACTTTCGTTCTCTCCTCTACATCTGCCTTTCCCAGTGCGAAAGGAGAAACTCTCTCACTGATTGTGAAGAGTAAATGACTGAGATTTTGTCAGAGGCACTTTAAAAAGTGGCGGTGGTTTGTTTCTTAATGTTTTCCGTGTCCGAGTATACTAGCTGAGTTTATGTAGGTTAGACACTAGACTAAGCAAACACCACAGAAAGCAAACACAGACCTACCTGACAGCGGTTATATCTTACAATGTTAGGAAACTTGCCTAATTTGTCTACTTTGCCTAGTAGATCACATCAGCATGAATAAGTCGTGAATGAAACAGGAATCCTGTTTCCGCTGGTGGTCAAGGAATGCACTCCAAAAATAACTGGCAGTGGACCCTGGCAATGTGGGCCATGGGATTGTGTGCCAGCAAGCTCTCATGTAGGGATGATATTGCTACACACACTATCTACCAAGCATCTCAAGCTTAGGCCAAAAATATACTCTACGCAAGTATGCTAACGCAGATGTGAATGCTAGGCCAATGCACTTCAAGTGGACCGTCTCATCAGATATACTTAATGTGCGTTCATATTCAAACCTCAGTACTCAAGGTAAGGTGATGGAGACCTTGAAATGTCAAATATTAAAGCTTTATTCAGGTAGCTAAGTCCACAGTTTAACTAACCTAAACTTGCTCAGCAAGATTCGCTTCAAACTAATGCTGCCTAAGAGTAAGAGGCTTGAAAAAAACATCTAGCCACAGAAGATCCTATTTGGAAATTAATTTACTTTTACATTTATGCTAATATACGCTATAGCGCCCCTTATGGAAATGCTGAGAATGCAACATAAAATTGAGGTAACTAAACATGTCCACATACTTGCGTATGAGTATGTTTCAGCCTTCTAGAGGGAGCTTGCTTTGGGTTTATCCTACTCCTGCTTGTTTATTACACCCCCACCCCTAAAATATCCCATCACTGTAATACAATCCAGTTCAGACTCTTACAAACACACCATAAGCCCTTTCACAAAGACTTAAGATATAAGGTTTCTGCATCTAAACCCTTTTCTTTTGAACTCAGTTATCCCTACTTCTTTCCCTCTCGTTTCAGCCCACCTATGTCAATGCAAGTAATATTTATTTGGTAGGGAGAGCTTTGGGTTGGGGTAGAAAGAGGTTAGCAATGGCTTTCACCCCCTGCTGTTTTTAAAATTAGACTATTACCTAATATTCCCTACAACAGTGGGCCCCACTAAGGCTTTTATTTCTAATTGGGCCCGAGAAGCTTTCTCAAGTGTACTGAGTTTTACATTGGTGTATGTACGCTAGTGGTATTCATTATATAGCTCTTTCGTTCAATCAAATGAAAATATGAAAATGCTATTATATAAATATGCACGCAGTAAATGGCTTCAGCATCAGCAAAGTACAATCTTGCTCAATGCCTCAAGTTTTTTCAAACCCTTTAAATGAAAGCAACCTAAGTGTTATGTTTCTCAGACAATAAAATGTATAATTGCCACAGTGTCATGGGACATTTGGGAGATAAAAACACTTTAGCTTGCAAGGAAGAAATCAGGAGGGCTCTAAAAATATGGACAGGACCACATAAAACATGTCTGGCTGGCACGACCAAGGCACAGTTGTTAAAACAAGGGGCAATAAAATGTGACTTTTTGTTATGATCGCAGTAGGTAAGCAAAATTTAGAGAAAAGTCCCTATTTTATGACATCAAAACAAATAGCAGGTAAAATTCAGCCAAATGCAACTGGACTTAGTTACTTAAAATTAGACTATTACCTAACATTCCCTACAACAGTGGGCCCCACTAAGGCTTTTATTTCTAATTGGGCCCGAGAAGCTTTCTCAAGTGTACTGAGTTTTACATTGGTGTATGTACGCTAGTGGTATTCATTATATAGCTCTTTCGTTCAATCAAATGAAAATATGAAAATGCCATTATATAAATATGCACGCAGCAAATGGCTTCAGCATCAGCAAAGTACAATCTTGCTCAATGCCTCAAGTTTTTTCAAACCCTTTAAATGAAAGCAACCTAAGTGTTATGTTTCTCAGACAATAAAATGTATAATTGCCACAGTGTCATGGGACATTTGGGAGATAAAAACACTTTAGCTTGCAAGGAAGAAATCAGGAGGGCTCTAAAAATATGGACAGGACCACATAAAACATGTCTGGCTGGCACGACCAAGGCACAGTTGTTAAAACAAGGGGCAATAAAATGTGACTTTTTGTTATGATCGCAGTAGGTAAGCAAAATTTAGAGAAAAGTCCCTATTTTATGACATCAAAACAAATAGCAGGTAAAATTCAGCCAAATGCAACTGGACTTAGTTACTGGTTGAATAACCAGGTCCAGTTGCTCCAAAAAGGAGGGTCGATTAATGCAATATTAATGCAATTTTTTTTAACACAATAAATGCTTTCTATATTAAAATATTATTAGCATAACAATTTGAGCTGACAAAAAATTACCATGATTTTCTTCACTCAAGCTGCATGAACAAAAAAAAATGTAAAAATGAAGAATGAAAAAAAATCCTATTTATTTTTAGGTTTCATTTAGATTCTGAATCCCAGACTTCCATGTGGTCTCAGACGTTTGAACCCCACTGTATATCAACAAGTTATGATGCAAGTGGCCACAGTCCTTACAGTCTTTATGATGATATATTACGACTTGCCCGGCCAGTTGGAAAACCACAGCTGAGAGTCCTGAGAAAAGGTGAATGGATGCAGAAATATTCCTAAGAGAGATATTCCTTTCTCCGCTTTCCTTTTCCTCTCTTTTTGCTCTGCAAGACTTCCCGTTCATAATTTACGCTGTAATGGCAGATGACTAATTGTGACATCCTAAAATTACAAATTAAGAAAAAACCCACAAACAACTGATTTAAAAGAAAATAAGATATTATGAAAAGAAAAACCGAACAAAAAAATCAATGTGCAAACTTTCTGATATAAATAGACTAGTCAATATGTTAGGAGAGCACCATGAGAAAGGAAAAGAAGGGTGAAGATGAACATGATGTGTGTCAGTATCTGTATGTATGTGTATGTTTGTAAGCATGTTTATGGTGGTGTTTTGTGTGCGCAAAGTTTTTGGACGTGTGAAATGAAAGGGCAGAACAGGGATCGAGGGTCATTCTGAGAGGTTAAACCCAGTCCTGCAGTGAACGTCTGCAGTGAACTAAATACGTGGGTGCTCCTTTCCTCTGTAGTGTGTTAATGATTGCGTAGATCAATCCCAAGATGCACAGCACCAGGACCAGGGGTACCGTCACCATGATGATGTTCATGGTACGCTCTGTCTCGTCTATCTTCAGAACCACATCCACCTCATTCGTTTTCTCTTCAGTCTCCTCTTTAGAGTCAACATCATTGGTCTTGTCTCTCTCTTTGTCCTTTTCCTTGTCTTTGTCTTTGTCTTGGCCAGCGTCTGGGTTGAAGGGTGGCCTGTCAGGCCACTTGCGTCCCGGATCCACATCAGTGTCTCTGTCAGGATTGAGGTCCACGTTACAGCCCATGAAGTCTCTAAGAATGGACTTTGGGTACCCTGGCTCGCTCTTCATTCTGTGGTTGTCAAATTTCCAGTACTTTGTACCCTTGTAGAAGTACGTATAAGCTGTGTGAGAGACAAACAAGATTGAAGAGAGAAAAATGTGTTAAAAGTGCATCACTGAAATTACATAAAAGCTAAACCAGATAGCTTATCAAAATTATAAACTATAAAACTATACAAAAACTATACAAAAATAACACACACACACACACACACACACACACACATATATATATATATATATATAGTTCAATATGCTATTTGTGCAGCAGCAGTATGTCTTAAATACTCACGGCACCGTATCGCCATATGCATTGGCAGTAGCAAGTTCCTGTACTTGCTTGCAGCAGCAGCAATAATCTACAACTACAGCAATAACCAACAGCAGCGGCAATTCAGCAGCAGCGTAGCAGATCTGTTCCACCAAGACCAAATACATTAACATGGTCATATCCATCACCATGCTAAAATGTTCCGAGAGTTGTCATGATTTAAATATATATATACTGTGTATATATATATGTGTGTGTGTGTGTGTGTGTGTGTGTGTGTGTGTGTGTGTATATATATATATATATATATATACGTGTGAAGTTTTTCTTCAAATGTGACATGAATGCATTTTCTTGGATTGAAAAATATGGAGAAAAAAATAAATGGTCAATTTATAGTCGTTTGATGTCATAAAAATAGACGACAAATAACTAAAAAATATATTGCCATATGGGTTGAGATTGTCAGGTTAAATTAATGTGAAGCTCAACTGTAAATGTATATTTTTAGTAATGTTTATAATGGAAGTCTATGGGATGAACATTAAAATACACACTTGGCCTATTGGCACTTAGTCACCTTCTTGATGGATCAGACTGCCATCTCAGGTTCTGCGCAATACATTTACAGCTGACCATGTAAATAAGTACAGTATAAATAAATTTAAATCTGAACTACTATTTTTGGTCTATGCAACAGATTTAAATTTCATGCAATTGGCAGACAGCTGAGGTGATCCTGAGGTGGTCTGAATAATCAGATTGCTAGCAGTCTCAAATTTTGTAATGAAACTCTATACCTTTCGCACATTACCTTCAAGAATACCAGAACGGGACCATTTACAAAGACAAATCCAGCCACTCGAATTACATGGGTAACACATGACTAGAACTTAATCCAATAAACGGACAATTCAGACTGAAATTTACAGCTCAAATAACATTAAATAGCATTAAATAAGACATTTTTGCTTTAACAAAACTACAAGCTGCACATTTCTGCTTTTAAACTTATAAATGTACTATTACATGTCCATTACTGTACTTTTTTCAAACTTAGGACTTTTAGACTTTTAGAAGGCAAAATTATAGTCTATCTATGGTAATCGATTGCATGCCACAGATCCTGTCGACACATTTTAATTTGTTTTAATCCAGGAACATTCCAATAAATGGGAAAGCGCTTTCAGTGATATAAGTGTTTCCATATAATATCACATTATTTCCTCAAATCACATTTCACACATTACATTCTCTCACTTCCTTTGTTTCACCATCTGATTGATCTGATTGATCTCCATCCATCCTGTACATTAAGGTGACAGGCACTGGATGACCCCTCAACCCCACACACCATTTCACTCACTCACCTCCATCATCGCTGAGGAAGGCCCCCTTGGGAGAAGACGGCACAGAAGTGCCCCACACACTGATTGGCTTAGGGTAGTCCTGATCTGCGGCTCTGGAGTGCTCATTAAAGCGCCAGTACCTGTAGTTTATCAAACACACCTCAATGCAAATCATTCTGCCTTTTCTTGATGCAGCCATTTAAGCAACAGCACAGAGACCCCATTTACACATGCTATTAACATTTATCACAGATGATCTGATCACAAGGGCACAGCACTGAAATCACTAACCATATTCCATGTGGTCACTTTAAATGTTTATCATAAATGCTGATGCAAAACAAACACTGAAAAAAAACTACTTATTAGGGGTGACCCTGAACAGTCGACGATTCGATGCTTCGATAGGAGGAGCCTGATTCGGCTACCAATCTCACAGTCGAATATTCGCTGAGGTGTTATGATCATGCCATTTTGGCTATGTGGGGGTGCTCAAATGTCTGATTTCACATAGAACTACCGGTTTTCTCCCAGTAAGTTAATATACATAATACTGTAAATAAGAATCTGAAAAGAAATAAGCTTTAAATAAATAGTTTAACGTGCGTGAATAAATCCAACCACTCCTATAGATTTAAGTTTCACTTTCCATAATCCGTGACCGACAGAGGAGCATCTCGGCGGCATGGATTTAAAACTTTAACAAGACTCAAACAGGTAGAGTGAAAGACTGGATTTTTTTCGATCAGGTAGGGTACAAGTGATTTCAAAACATTTCAGCTGCTTAATATCGTGTATATATTATTTATCTCGTATAAGATGCATTTGGTTGAGTTGCGCTGCAGTAAAGCGCTTCATTGTAGTACTTTTTGTAAGTGATTATCTCTTCAGCGCGCAGGGTGAGCAGCACAAACACCAATGCATAATTCTATGACTGGGAATGTCATATTCAGAACATTATAATGAGAACACTATTATAATAAAACGCTGTGAATTTTTAGAGTTTAGTTGCCGTGTTTCTGCACGTTGTTGCGTGAAGAACGTCTCCACAAAAGGAGTTCATTCAGAACCGCACAGACACGTTCATGTGCATTCGGGGCATTTTGTGCAGCTAGCCTATAAGTCGTAATATTAATGTTATGTTGTATAAATTACGAAGCATATACTATATGAGAAAAATCCCATTGATTAAACCCTGCTATCATATGCTTCATTCTACTGGTCATCTTCAGCGCGCACAGTTCAAAACAGAAATGCAGAACATTAATAACTACTGTCATATACATAACGTTATAATGAGAGCACTATTGTAAAAAATGTTGTGAATTCTTAGGGTTTAATGTTAACTATCTTTTAATCAAAACATAAAACATTATTTACCCCGTTTGTATCTGCAAGACGCCCGTTACACATTTTCCCTGTGTGTTAACGTCATTAATTATGGCTGTCGAATGTCTGACTTGACTCTTGGTCATGTATTTTGCCCCCCACCCCCCAAACATATGATTCGACTATCAGGCGACTATCAGCAAGATTCGAAAAATCCAATTCGACTATGAAAATCCTCAGTCGGGGACACCCCTACTACTTATGTAACATTTTATCATTGTGCCAAATATATATGAACAAGGTTGACATCTAGATTTATCAAATTTTAATAAAAAATTTTAATTTAGTTACATGTTGCAACCAAGTAAAAAGTACTATCTTATGTATATGTAATATTACATTATAAAACAATAAAATGTATAAATGTATTTATTATTATTATTCACAAATATCAGGGTTTTTTTTTTTTATGAAACATTTTTTGGGGAAATAATAAATTAACCTTGCTTTGTCATAAAGAGGTCCATAACATAACATAATCTGATCCATAACATAATTTCCTTTTCCTTAATTTTCTGCATGTTAGTTGCACCACATGACTTGATTTTGCAGAAAGGTTTTTCAAATATGAATAAGTAAGGCAGTTATGTTAAAATACTGTTGTCAAAACATAAAACATTATTTACCCCGTTTGTATCTGCAAGACGCCCGTTACACATTTTCCCTGTGTGTTAACGTCATTAATTATGGCTGTCGAATGTCTGACTTGACTCTTGGTCATGTATTTTGCCCCCCACCCCCCAAACATATGATTCGACTATCAGGCGACTATCAGCAAGATTTGAAAAATCCAATTCGACTATGAAAATCCTTAGTCGGGGACACCCCTACTACTTATGTAACATTTTATCATTGTGCCAAATATATATGAACAAGGTTGACATCTAGATTTATCAAATTTTAATCAAAAATTTTAATTTAGTTACATGTTGCAACCAAGTAAAAAGTACTATCTTATGTATATGTAATATTACATTATAAAACAATAAAATGTATAAATGTATTTATTATTATTATTCACAAATATCAGGTTTTTTTTTTTTAATGAAACATTTTTTGGGGAAATAATAAATTAACCTTGCTTTGTCATAAAGAGGTCCATAACATAACATAATCTGATCCATAACATAATTTCCTTTTCCTTAATTTTCTGCATGTTAGTTGCACCACATGACTTGATTTTGCAGAAAGGTTTTTCAAATATGAATAAGTAAGGCAGTTATGTTAAAATACTGTTGTTGTTCTTCTGAGAAATTGTAATAAAACATTGTTTTAAGGTCTATGCATTGTTTCTTTTTTCATTATACTGTACGAATTATGATTTATTGACAGTTCATATATTGTATCCCCCTGACATTTTTGACTTTATGCTTCCTCCAAAATGTTTAAATAAATTTTTATTTAGAAATGAAATATATATATATATATATATAAATATATATAATTTAAAGTGTGTATTGAGGTCATTGTATCTATAATTAAAATTTATTTTAAATGAATAGATTTTCATGTCATGTCCCATTGACCGATTTAATGAAAAATGGATATCTGTCATCAAAAAAAAAAAAAAAAACCTCCCCCTCTCC